CACAGTAAAGTATGCTAAAAGTCCAAATTCAAGGCGTAATCTCCAGGGGAACACTTTATCTCTCTGTAGACCTTCTCATCAATCTTTCCCCAGACTAGGAGCTTCTCCGTGCAGGGACCCCGGGTCCAAAGGACGTGCTCTGCTCCTGGCACTGCTTTCTTGGTGCTATGAGGTCCCCATCTCTCTGCTTGCTTCCTTTTTCTTCTATCTCTTGAGAGATAAAAGGTGGTGCAGGCCATACTCCAAGGAAACTCCCTTTACATTGGATCAGGGATGTGACCTGGGTAAGGGTGGTGATACAATCCCACCCTAATCCTCTTTAATGTAAAATTACAATCACAAAATGGAGGACAACCATACAACACTGGGAATCATGGCCTAGCCAAATTGATACACACATTTTTAGGGGGACACAATTCAATTCATGACACCACCTCATACCATGGGTTAGCAGAGCTCTCTTAATTACGAGAAGCAGAGTCATCAACATCTTTAAGAGTAACCAGACTTGAGAATCAATTTAGAAAGCTCATCCTTAAAGTTTTGTTTCTCTAGAACCACTACTGGTACAAAATGTCTTAAGCTGGATTCTCTAGAGAAGCAAAACTAGTAAAGCATATGTCATGGATTGAATTATGTCCCCCAAAAAATGTGTCTGTCAGTTTGGCTGGGCCATGATTCCTGGTATTGTGTGATTTTCCTATATGTTGTAAATCTTGCCTGTATGATGTTAATGAGGGAGGATGGGTGGCAGTTGTGTTAGTAAGGCAGGACTCAATCTACAAGATTGGATTGTGTCCGCAGGCAATCTCTTGAGATATAAAAGAAGAAGTGAGCAGAGAGACATGGGGACCTCATACCATCAAGAAAGCAGTGCCCGGAGCAGAGCGCATCCTTTGGACCGGGGTCCCTGTGCAGAGAAGCTCCTAGTCCGGGGAACACTGATGAAAAGAAGGCCGACAGAGAGAGAAAGCCTTCCCCTGGAGCTGATGCCCTGAATTTGGACTTTTAGCCTACTTTACTGTGAAGAAATAAACTTGTCTTTGTTAAAACCATCCACTTGTGGTATTTCTATTATAGCAGCACTAGATAACTAAGACAGCATATAAATATATATAGAAAGAGATTTACATTGAGAAGTGGCTCATGGAGCTGTAGAGGCTGAAATGTCCCAAGTCCTTGGGTTAGGCTGGAGGCTTTTCCTGATTCATGTAGTTGCAGGGGCTGGCAAACCTAAGATTGGTAGGTTATACAGCAGGGCTCTGGTTCACAGGCTGCAAAGACAGATGAATTCCAAGATTGGCAGGGAAGAACACAGGTCAGCTGCTAGCTCAAGCCCCAAGAAATAGTCAAACAGGAGCCACCTGAAGGATCCAGAGTGTCCAAAACCTGAGAGCCTTGCCAGAAAGTGGAGGCAAGCCACACCCCAAGTAGACACTCTTTCAACTGATTGGCAACTCACAGCTTATCCCATCATGGAGGTGGTCCCATTATATTAAATCCCATCATGGAAGTGATCACATCCTTATAAGACTGCTAAAATACATCATAACTGCCAAATCACTGAGAATTATGGCCAGTCATCTGACACTCAGCCTTAAGGATCACACTGAGATTTACGGTGTATAGATATGGGAAGAATAAACATATGCCTGTAAAATGGCTGTCATTGTTTCTGGCTATAGTAAAGATATTAAAGTGTTGGCCTACCATAAAATTATCTTTGCAAAGTGTTTGACTTAAAGGATATTCTCAAGTACCTTGAGGGTGAGAGCGGAGAAAAGGATTACAGTGAAACAGAAATTTGTATATTGTTTCTCCAAACTGTTTGATGATCTTTGAAGAGGCTATTAATAACCTAGGGAAAGATGAACTGGTAGCAAATCAGTTGTTTGATGTCATGTGTAGATTGCAAAAAAAAACTCATACAGAGAGAAAAAATGACTCCTGCATTGAAAGTAAGACTTCTTCAGAACATAAAATCATATTACCGGAAGAGGGCAGCCAAAGTAAACAGGGCTTTCTAATTTTTTTTTAGTAAAACTCTAATTTCTTTGTAATAAAGTTTAAATTATTCCTGCGTTTTAAAGTCATTTTCCATGACTAGAGAGGTGTAACTTGTGATGACATCCAATATGCTTTGGAGTGTTTAGATATATTGGGTATAATCAGTGAAGAGAATTTATATGATGAATTGGCAAATGCAGAAGTACTGATGACAAACAGCTGGTCTACCTACGCAGGCCTGCAGACACCAGATGGACGAACATATATGGACAGTGGAAGCCTACTCCCTACAAATTAAAAATCCTGCTGTTACTAATAGGTAAAATCCTAAGTGTTGCATGATCAGGTGCTTTTGGTGAAACGAAATTTAGCTTGTAGACACCAGGAATCAGTGTAATGTGGGCTTGATTGGAGCAGACCCATAAGTCAAAGTGGGAATTATGTTTAACTATATTCCATTTTGGAACTATGTAAAAGAAATGAAAGATGTTCAAAAGTGGCAGGCACTTCAGCAAAGTGTTAACGGAAAAAACAAAGAATCAAAATATTCTATTATAACAAAAGACAGCAAAAAGATGCTATTTTTATTTTTAATTAAATGTACATATCTGCCTAATTAGTCCTATAGTATTTAGAGTTAGTTTTAAAAGACTAATGTCTGTAAGAATATACATATTTTTGTATATTAAGAGAACAAAAAAACTCATAATAAAGTAAATATATAATAAAAAATTAAAGTACTAAAATTAATTGCTGTATTTCAGACAGATATGAAAAATTGTTATACTTCTTACACATACTAATTTTTCCTTCCTTTAATTACTATAATTGGCACTGTTATTTATTTGTTTAAATAATGGTATCATGTAAAAGATGATTAAAAAATACAGAGGAATATAAAATTTAAACTGAACATGTATTTTACAAATTTTATGTTACGACTCATAACATACATGTGTTTAATTATATATTAATATGCTTTTATAATTCTTATCTTCTTGGCCTTGTCTTGGATTAGCTCTCGAAAAGTGGTGTCTCCTGTCTTAGGGAAATATATTGGAAGGTTGTCAACCATCTGTACTTGCCTACAGTGTGGAAAAATTTGTTTCCAGAGTTCCTCTTCTAATAGTCACTTAATAGGGAAGGGTGCAGAGCACATTGTTCTCGCGAGGGCAGAGTTGAACAAGTACTAAATGTGTGGGTAGAATGGGGTGATGTCAGATGACATACCTAGATCTTAAGGATGCTCTACCTCTCAGCTTCCCTGATGTTGGGTACAGCTGGATTGGGTCAGAGCTGTACTGTCTGTGGAGACGGGGCTGTCCTAAGAGAGTTTGTATTCTGGTCCCATGGCTTCAATATCTCCCTCCTGATCTCAAGTTAAGTGTTGTCTTGCTCTTCTCTGACGAGGGGACAGTATCCCACAGTATTATCATAAGTTCAGCTCTCAGTCCTGCCTAGCCTTGATCTGGGATGGATCTCCATAAGCTGCTTGGAGCCCTGGATGACTATGCGCTCCTGGAATGCTTACCTTTAGAAGGGAATCGGAGCCCTGAGGCACAGTGGTTAGGAGCTCACCTGCTAACCAAAAGTCGGCAGTTCGAACCCACCAGCCACTCCTTGGAAACCTTATAGGGCAGTTCTACTCTGTCCTACAGGGTCGCTATGAGTCTGAACCGACTCGACGGCAAACAGACCTGAGGGTGTCCACAAGAGGGTGTAGGCTGCTGTTCCTCACTCCTCAACACTTAGCTACCATCAGCAGATAGTTTTTCTGCAGCTGACACCAGCATTGGCCCTTCTGCCCTCTGTATTATGCCAGAAAATCTGTGTCTGGGTAGGTGTGAGCCTTGGCCTCTTTGTACCAGAAGCTTGACCTCTCTGCACCCTAGGGAGAAAGTTCCCGGGGTTATTGAGCCCTAATTATAAACAATATGGGCATCTCTCTGAGGACAGACAGGCAGAAACATTATCTTCAGAGGGACCTTGGGATTCAGACAGAAAGAACAGGTCTATAATTCCTGGGGGAAGACCTCCTTTGTGGTTTTACTGCTGTATTACAAGGTCTGTCGCTTAGAGAGTTGCTGGATTTTCACTTGAGGGTGGGAGGAGTAAATTCCCATCCTGTTGCATAGAGGCAACGTCTCAAGCACCTTGGCCGTAAAGACCAAGAGGCTATACATGGGACATAATCAATAACCAGTCAGAGAAGTGTGACCAAGTAGGACATGCAGAGGGAATGCAGCTGTTAAATGAGTGAGGGTTGCTTGACTCTGCTCCTATGTAGGTTGTGGGGTGTGCTGATCTGGATGAGAAAGGGTGAGCTTTACCTGCACTGGTGGAACTTGTGTCTAGAAGTGTGGGCCCCTGCCAGTCTGACACATTTTCCCGAGTTCTGCTCTAATGGGCACAACCTGGTTTCCCTGAGCCCCATTTCTGACAGAATGAGAGATTGGTAGAAGGTCTCAGTTGAAACAACAGCACTGATGAGAGACCCTGCTGAGCTGAGGACAGAAGGAGACAAGGATAGAGCCTTATGGGAAAGTGGTCATGGTGGGAACCATGCCAGACCCCTATTGTGTCCGTTGGAGGTTCAGTTGCTTTTCTCCCCATCTTCTAAGCTTTTGGGCTAGGGTGGGTTTAGGGAGGTGAAAAGACCATCATTGACAGCCTCATGCAGCAAGTTCCATTGTTTTTCTGAGGGAGACACTCTACCACTGATGGGGTCAGACAGGGACTGACATTACAGATGCTGATAGGACAGGGACAGTGCAAAGATGTGAGTTGCTGGCTTGTGTGGAGGAGTTTGTGAATTGCTGAGCAGGCAGAAAAGAGAGTGAAATAGGTGCAATCACAGCCTGCCTCAGGCACAGAAGGACAGAAGGAAGACACAGAAGGCATTCCTCCACAACGAGAGATGGTCTTTATTAAGAGTCTGACACCTACTCATACACAATGTATTGCAGAGTCCAGGGTCCAATTACTTAGCTATGCTAGGATGTATTCATTATTCTGTGGATCCAGAGAACAAAGCTGGATATTCTTGTGAAGACCTTAGGAGGCTTATTCTTATATCCATAGCTAACAATGCCCTGGGCTACATTGTTGCACACCAGGGGTCCTCCAGAATCACCCTGTGGACACAAAAGGGAAGAATCTCAGCGCAGACCCTTCTGTGTTCCCCCCTCAGGCCATATTTTCTCATTTATACTCATATCTTCCTTCTCAGGGTCTGTGTGTTCAGAAGAGGAAGGGCTGAAGGGTCACCATTCACTTTTTCTCCGAGTGAAAGAGGAGGCAGAGTCCATGCCTCTGGGATCACCCAGAACTGTAAGTCTCTGCCCTGACTGAGTCCTCTTTCCAGCTCAACCTAGTCCCAGGCTTTTGTCTTGTTCTCCCATGGAGAAAGGATAAGAGATGAACTGGAGGAAGATTCCCTGATGTTCTTGGTTGAGAACAGAATGCCATCACTTGTGGTGGACCCTGCTGTACCATGGCTTCATGGCAAGTGAATGCCTGACCATGAGGATTTAGAATCACTTTGTGTCTGAAGCAAGAAAAGAAAGACGCTTGTCTCCTTACCATTCCCGCATCCTTAGTGTACAGAGGGTTCCCCACACATAGCTGGGTCGTGTCGTCATAGTGTGAGAATATTTGTTTGCACTCCTGTTTGTTCTGCACTTCCAGGTCCACTTCCTTTAGTGTGGCTGATGATGAACCACTCTCCGTTAATCCCCAGCCTGCCACGCTGCACACCTGCTCTGGCCTCACCCAGTCCTGGCTCTGTGGTAGGGCAATGGTCTTCACAGCTGTGTTGAGTTGAGCCTTGTGTTTCAGCTGGTCAGAGAAGGTGAGACAAGGTAATACCCATCCTGCTCTATCAGCAGGGCCCAGAGCCAGGGAGGCAGTTCCTATCCTGTCCTGAGCCTCCAAACCAGCTTCTATTGCACTGGGACTAGTAGAAGAGTCAGATGGAGGAGGGGAGGGGCCTGTGGCTCTAAATAAGGTGAGGTTCCCCAGTACCCTGTGAGGGTGCACCCAAATGGATGCAAGATGGTACCTTCAGTAGCATGATGTCGTTGAGTATTAAATCCCTGCTGAACTCTGGGTGAGGGAAGGCTTGAAGTACAGGGATGACCTGCTGCATGTTTTCCTTTTTCTGGATATTGTGAGCTCCCAGGGTGACAGTCATATTTCTGCAAAAAAAGACTGGATACAGTAAATAGGACCTTCCACTAAGTATTGGATAATATCGATGTTGCAACCCAAGGGAGGGCTGCAGCTGAGTCAAATTGGGAGGAGGAAAATGGTACAGAAGTCTTGTCTTGTTTCTCCTCTCCAATACCTCTATCCAAATATGGACAGTGTTACCTTCTTTTCTCCGCTGTGTTTCTTCAGCGGGTCTGGTCGTTCAGCAGCTTCACCTGCTACCCAGCCCCCAGTCCACAAATCTCAATACTCTAACCCGCACCCACTTCCCCCAGACTGGAGATGCACAGAAGGGTCCTCTAATGAGACTGGGCTCTATGCACTGAGGGACTGTCCTGTGTAACGTCTGTGTAATGGTTTTAGGGTTACCAGGAAACAAGAACTCAGTTGTTGTTCCTCACCTTTCGTAGCAGTGAGCCGCTGTCAACACATAGTCTTCTCGGACCAGGAAACCTCCACATGCTTTCCAGCTATGGTTATTCTCAGAGGCTGTTATTGATGCCATGTAGGGCCGTGAGTGTGGTGTGGCCTCTGTGCCCCCTTTGATCACTGTTTAAAGAGACAATCTGTCTGGATCTCTGTGCTCACAGAACTCAGAGAATGGGCACTATTTTGTGGCCTAGAAGACTGGGATATTCAGAGGCTGGATGGTCTGTGGAATTTGACTCGTGTTGGAAGAGAGTTGCTGCAGGACCCCTAACACTGAGATGGGATTTTGGCTCCTGTGGACATTATGGCTGATTTGTAACGTGACCAGTTTCATCCCTAGTTCTCTCTTTCTTTATTTGGAGATGAGGGACCACAGCCTTTATCTGAGTTAAATATATTTCAGACACATGTTAATAGGAAATGGTCTGCCTTCTGAATGCACATCCAGAAGGCCTGAAAAATATCTTCTCTGACCTGCTCTGGATGCTTTTTTGTCCCCACGCATCTCAGACCCTTGGTGTTGTGATCACTTCCCTCGTGGGCTGGTGTCTAAGGACCTGAACATCATGAGCTCATGGAACAGAATCCTTTGATATCTCTTCCATCCCGAGTCTGGTACATGGAAAATACTCCATAAATGTTCTTTTGTTACCTGAATGATCAGCCCCTAGATTGTCTTTGGCCTATGGCTGGGGAGGAGAAGTCCTAAAAGCACCTGAACTACTTCACAGAATTTGCCTCATAGGACACTGAGTCCTCAGGATAAAGGGGGATGAGAACAAAAACTGGAGATCAAACTGCAGAGAGGAAATGGACAGCAGGGGGCCTGGGTGGGGGCCCCATATCCATCAGGGCTTTGGGAGCAGTAATCATACCCTTTGATGCCCAGTGGTTCAGTTTGGATCTGAATTTCTGCTCTGATAGAACTGAGGGGCTCAGCATAATAGGGACAAGATGAAGATGAAGTCTAGAATGTGGAGTATGAAATGCCTCTTCCCTCTTTGATCCGTTCTATAGCTCCTGACATTAAGAAGTGTATTGTTTTGTTTAGGTAGATGAAATTTACAGCATTCATTTTCAGCTTTCCCTCCTCCTACAGAATCTATGGCCATCTTGATAATAAATCACTTTCCAGATAATAGAGATGCAGCCCATGAAAGGGAATGACCCACCAGGTTTCTTGGGAGCATTTTTTTCCTATCATTTCTGAACATTGATTATGCAGTCATAGATTTCATCAAATTCCTGCGGAACAACTGGGGATAGGAAGCATCATAGAGATAGGCTAGCTGGAGCTCTGTGGAAAAATCACTGATGGAATAAGCCAGGCCCCTGACTTTGGGACAGTCACTTACCTATGAAGGTCCTGGAGGGCAGAGGCAAGGCCAACAGGATCAAGAGCAGCAGCAGCATCTTGGAAAAGTTGCTCAGGTCAGAAGGTGTGTGTCATTTCTAATTCCAGGCTTTTTAAACCAAGAGGTGACTAAGGAGGGGCAGGCTCAATGAGCCTGTTTTATTCTAGGTTGTATTGATTCTCAAGATATGAACTCAGCATGTCACGTTTCCCTCCTAGAGGAATGTGTATGGAGAAGGTGTTGCAAGAACCACATTCTTAGGCAGTTTCTCACTCAGCAGAACACACTTACCTGGAGAAATCGTGAAGTATGAGAAGGAAGGAATGGGCTTTGAGGTTTTGTTTTAGTTGAAATAGTGTTCCCGTCCCTAATTGCTGTTTTGGGTATTAAAAGAGTGTGAACATGATGCCGTATGGACTTGCATTTGTGATTAGCTACTGCCTACTTCATTACTTAATATGTCTCAACCCAAACCTTCCCTGTTAGTGCTTCACTGTTTGAGAGCCCAGAAGTTTAAGTATTTATTAATATTTATAAATCCAAAAATGACAAATTATTCTTCTTAGAAACACACCATACAAGATCTTCCTCATCTATCAATTACTGGTAGTTTCAATCAATGCCAAATCTTGGGGTAAGGGTGAGGATAGAGACTGGGGTTGAAGAGGAAATGGGATGTTGATGAGAGTAGAAGGAAGGTAAGGTGATACCAGAATAGGAGAGCATGAGATCATGGTTTGACAGACCAACCTGTGTGAATTCATTCTTTGGTCCCAGGATGCCCTGATCAACCAATGTTGCTCTGAACCCTGATATTTTTGAGTGATAAAAATATCCCAGTTTCAATGTATTTACAAGCATGCAGGTAGATACAGAAAGAGGTAAACAATCTTTTCTATTCGTCCTGAATTTTCTTGATGAATCAAATCTCTTTCCTTTTGGGCCAGGTAATCTGGGGTCCCTGTGAAGACTGTCATTAGGCAAACTTTCTGCACCTTGTGCTTCCCTGGCCCTGGTGATGGTCTCTATTTCCTCTTTCTGTGAAAACAAGAACAGAGACCATCACCAGGGGCAGGCTCTGGGAAACACTGGTGGCATACAGGTTAAGAGCTATGGCTACTAACCAAAAGGTAGGCAGTTCAAATCCACGAGGAGCTCCTTGGATACATTATGGAGCAGTTCTTCTGTGTTATATAGGGTTGCTATGAGTCGGAATTGACAATGGCAAAGGGTTTTTTTTTTTCCCCCTGCTCTGGGGATCTACAAATACTTCTGCCCAGGGGCGGAATACCAAATAAGCAAGGTAAGCAAGGCCTTACTTGTATTTACTAATCTGTAGTAAACTGTTTAACATGCGAAAGGGTTCACTAGAGATTAGTAAGTAAGCAGAAGTAAGGCTGTGTTTACCTTGCTTAATGACTAATCTGTCCCCGTCAGGGACTATAAATTTGAAAAGAGATTTTTATTCTGTATGAAGGTGAAGTGGGTTTGGGAGATAGATGGATGCCAGCCATACCTAAAAGCTGAATCTTTGATGAGGTGAAAAACTGTGAAATAGTTCACTACAGATTAGTAATTAAGCACAAGTAAGCCTGTGCTTACCTTTCTTATTGGATAATCTGCCCATTTTTGCCCTTTCACCAAAATTCCCTTTCCTTCAGAGAATGGTGGATGCAGTGGAAATATTTTTCACTTTCCTTCTAGAAATAACATCCCTAGGCTTCATCATCAATGGAGCAACTCATTAAGTTGGAGGATAACATCTTCTGCCACTAGTCTGGTATCTTTCCTTACCATCTGCCAGAGTTGCAAGCCTGCTTGGATGCATGTGGCCCAGCTCACCCTGTCTAGGTCCTGGAGAAGATGAGGGCTTGTAAAATGTGGTAAGTGTTGCTTTGATCTCAGCTGTCCAAAACCAGCCAAAGCTTATAAACCCAAACATTAATTTTTCATTTGGGTGCCAGGCCAGGGATTCCACTGTCCTTAATACACTCCACTTGATGGCTTGCTCTAGTCCCCTGAGATATTCTGGTACACAGCAGAGGATCCAGGCAGGGAAGAGGGAGTAGAGTGAGGCCTGATGATCTGGTGAACATAGAGGCACACGTGCGACACTGCTGTAGGATCATGTCTTATCTTTTATTTCGAGGCAGCACGTAGGTTGCCTCTGAGCCCAGGGATTTGCTGCAGGGTGCTTTCCTCCTTCATGATGCTGTAAGCAACCAGGATGTCATCTGACTGTGGGAGAAAATGTGGATGCGATGCTCCTTATTATGACCATTCTTGTTGACTGTGGTCCTACCTGGCCAATGAGCCTGGGGCGTCAATGATGATGTAATTCAGATGAAGTCCTCCAGTCTCCTGCTCCCCCGTTCTGGTGAGACCCTGGGTGCCTGAGGACCGTCAGACTTTGCATAGGAGCGTGTTATATATATACTGTCTAGAATATAAGGCACGGTTTTGAGATGTAAACTTCTTATGGCCCAGATATAACTGTTGCTGAAATTATTATGTATTCTAATCATGCTACTTATAATAGTACTCATCTTAAAAAGAAACACTGCAAAATTTCATTATTTTTGAAATGCTATAGAAAATCACTCTGTATCTGAAGCCTGGGTCATAATATCACTGTGAGAAATTATACTTCTGAAGATTCATGGAAACTTAGAAAAACTATGTAGATAGACTATGAGTCCGATGCTGTAGTAATCATCTGTGAGTCATGTGACCTAAAACGTTGAAATCACTCAAAATTTATTTGCCAAATTTCATAGACTTTTGATGGTTTTAGCAAGTTTTTATGAAGGAGAAGTTTCCTGTGAGCTGTTGGGAATGGCTCTGAGTTGTCCCCTGTGCTTCCTCTTAAGGTACCAGCTACCCACAGGAACCTGTCTCTCTGAGACTAGTCCCCCAAAGCTGGGTCAGAGTTCACTAGTTAGAGGGCCATCTTCTTTCAGACGGACAAGCAGGCACATGTCAGTACCTGCTGGCTCTCACTGCCCTTTTGCATTCATTAATTCACTGGCATGACTCACAGAATTCACAAAGAATGTAGTATACCTACAGCTACAACTTTACTAGAACAAAAAATGATACAAACATAGCCATGCATAGGGAGAGGCCTGGGAGGGGTCCCATTGCATATTTTCCACGTCCCAAAGAGGGATATACTACCTTCTCCCATGCAGAGCACTAACCAAGAGTCCCCACCTGAGCCTCAGGGCTCAGGACTTTTATCAGCCTCACCATGGGACCATGATTGATTACATCGTGCCTGTGAGGCTTAGTCAATATTAGGCCCCAGGTAGATGCTTTTTGTCTGGTCAGCCCCCTCTTATTTGTCATAGGTATTGGACTGTTTCCAAGAAAAGAACAAATGCTAAATTGCCTTCTGTCTGTTGATTCCATACTTTATAGCTGTCACTTAGGTGGTAGATAAATGTCCATTTAAGGGTGGTAATTGCAAATTCCAACCGTGCCATGGACAAAAGTCATTTCAAGGCCGTAGGCCCCAAGGACTTGTGATCAACATCAGACATGAACAGAAACAAGATACCAAGCAGCCAAGTGTGATCAAGCGGAACAGGCTGAAAGGACGGATAGCACTAAGTGAGTTGAATCTTGTCAACTCTGAGCCCACGTGGTGTGTGTGGTATGCTGGGTTAGATTAGAGTGGCTGAACAACCCACACACTTGGGAAGTGTGTCTACAGGTATGGGGACCAGGCCTGATTGTCACATTTCCCAAGCTCTGCTCCTATAGGCATAGGCTGGCATCCCTGAGCCCCTTCTCTGACAGGATGATGGGCCAGCAGGCAGCACCCAACTGGGACAGAAGCTCTGAAGAGGTGCTCTACTCAGCCGTTGACAAAGGGAGACAAGGATTAAACCTCACAGGAAAGAGGTCCTGAGGGGCACTATGTCAATCCCCTATCAGTGTATATGTTCAAGGAAAACACAGAAGGAAGCTCCTCCATAGTGGGAGATGATCTTTATTAAGGGTCTGAACCCCCCCCCCACAGATGTGGACCCTACCACAGAATCTAGGAGCCAGTCACTTAGATATGCCTGACCACGTTCACTATTCTTTGGATCCACAGAACAAAGCTGGAGATTCTAGTGAAGACCACTAGAAGGATTTTATCATATCCAAGGTGGACAATGTCCTGGGCCACATTATTACACACCAAGGGTCCCCTATATTTGTGCTGTGGACAGAAAAGGCAGAAAAGGGAAGAATCTCAGCAAAGACCCCTCTGTCTTATCGCCTCAAGCTCTTTTTTCTCTTCAGTTCCCATGTTCTTCTGCTCAGGACCTGGGTGTTCAAAGGAAGAATGGGCTGAGAGATCACCATTCATTTTGTCACTGAGTGAGAGGGGAGGGCTGAGTACTGGCCTAGGATCCCCCAGCCTCTGCCCTGGCTGAGTCCTCTCTCCAGCTCAACCCAGTCCCAGACTTTCCTCTTGTTGTCCCATGGATAAAAGAGAAGACATGAACTGGAGGGAGATGCCTGGTTCTTATAGACTGAGAATAGAATGCCTCCAACCAATGATGACCCTGCTTTGTCAGTGTCTCCATAGGTTAGTGAAAGCCTGGCCATGGGGCTCCATAATCACTTCATTTGTCCTTACCAGAAGTCCCTGGGAGTCCCCACATAGTACAGGGAGAGGAGTCTCAGCTCAGCATTCTCCACTTAGTTCTCCATTCTGACTCTTTTCCCTCCCCTACTCCTGCTGTGGCCCTTTATTTTCTGATAAAGAAGTTGTTCAGGTGTGTGTGTGTGTGTGTGTGAGGGAGAAAGAGAGGAAGGGTGGGATCTTCCAGCATTCTGGTCCCACACTGTGGAGGAAGGCCCTTAGACTGGGTGGGACCTCTCACAGTGGACCCTGATGAACCAGTTCTATAGGCTCTGTGTATAGTACTTCCTCAGGTGCCTCCATGATCTTTCTGTTTTTGGGTCACTCTGGGCACATGCCTATTAACAAACGTGGCACGTTACTCTTGTCCTTAGGGCTCCCTACTCCATTGCACAGAGCTATTGTCTTTGTAGCCCTGC